TGAAGCAGCAGAAGATCTAAAGAAGATACAGACTAATATAAAAATATGTCCTTCCCAATAATTTATAAATATCTGTTAACAACACAGTGCCTAGTTTACTGTTGGGATGGGGAGTGGTGGAATGGAGTCAATCAATCAATCTCTATATTCAGTATTCTGGACATGTGTCAGTGACAACAGAACAAGGGACCTGAATTTTAGGTATCTTAGGGAGGTATAAAGACTGTGACAGTGACTACAACTGAATGGAAACAAAATATAAGTAGGAACTTGCATTCTTTAAGTTTGTGAAATCATGACATTCACCTTAAGAGAAACAGGATCTTGATAAAAAGTTTAAGCATTAATAGTGGAGGATCAGCTTTGAGTCCTGTGACTCAGCTCTGGAAGTCAAGCACTATTTGATGGGTTTGTGATTTTACATAAATGCAGTGCTTGTCCATGATGGCACTTCCCTTGTTATACAACAAAGGCAAACAATCAAATTCCACATCTGAACAATCAAGTAACTTGAAAATTTAATTAAAAAGAGAGTTTGCAACAGAGGGAATACTTGCCTGTCCATTTCAGCTTCCAGCTGGCAGTAGGCTGCATATGCAATGATATTTTCATGGCCACACCTGTCAGTAGTGAGAGCACTGACGTAGAGCACAAAGTCAGCATCTCGAACCCCTTCGTGCTCGGGTGAGCCCGTGGGCCTGCGGTGCCACTCGCTGTCATTGTACACCCTGCATTGCTGTACAGTGTTCAAAGGCAACAATTAAAATACTCCCCTTATCACCAAAATTCTGCATGACGCAATTCAATGAGCTTGAAGCCGAGAATAAATCCTAATAGACAGCAGAAGATAAGGAAACACCCTGTGAAGAACAGCAAACAAAACCAGAGCCAAGGAATAACTTTCAAATTACTAACTCTTATGATTTAGTAGACACAAGGAAGGTGGCAGCTTTAAAAAAACAAATAAAAAAAAGCCTGTCAAGCTTCCCTGCATTTCTTAGAAATTTAATTAGAATTAGGATCCTGTATTTCTTTTAATTGTTTTTTTTAAATCTTGGCTCGCAAAACTAGTACACGTAAGTAACAATAGCATTTCTCATGTAATCTATCTTTTTAATGATACAGTTGAAACTTCCAAGTTAAAGAAAGAAAATCAGAAATCTACTGATCACATACTGTAGTTGAATAAAGAAAACAAGTCTGAAGCATTTCTTGCATTATACCCCTGAGTCAGTGAATAACCTTTTCAAACAAGGTCTTCAAAAATCAACTATTAACTTTGTGAAATTCCAACTCATTGACCAAGGTGAATAACAAAGTGACTATTTAGCAATTTAGCAAGCTCCAAATCTCATCTTCTTTGTATAGGCCATTAGAACACAGGCTCAGAAAATAGTAACCAGTTCCTGTTTTGGTTTTTGTGTTTTTGTTTTGGTTTTTTTTAAATTTGAGTTTGGATCAACAACATAAACTACAGAAACTCACACTTATTTATATTTTTCTATTCCTTCATTCAGACTTAGTGATCTCCAGCAAACAGGTCATTTATGCACAATTACCAATATTCACTTTTTCATTAATAACCATAAACAGTAATATTTCAAAGATTAGGAAACACTTGGACAGCTGAGCTTACCTGGAGGTGTTTCTCAGGAACTATAACTGGCCCACACCTTGTATGGTCTGCACAGGCTTTTTGGCAATATCTGTGAGGGTCAGCTTTCCTCCTTAAATATTGGTTTGTCACACATTGCCTTCAATGAAACATGAGACAGTCAATGTTTTTATTATTAAAGGAGAACTATAGAATAGTTTACTGCACTCTGTTGGTATTAGATATAACTTTCACTGTGAGAATTGTTAATTACCTTACCAGGGAAGACATAATGCTTCCAGTTGTTAATCTACAGGCTCAAAGAGAGATTAGAACCAGATTCATAAATGGGGGTACACATAAAGAGAACTGGCAGCACGTATAGCTGTGAAAATCTCTGCAACAACAAATGCAGGTGTTGCTTCTGGAAGACTGGCAGATTTGTAAAAGAGCATCTGCCACTGCCGCTGGATCAGATGGGTCACTGATCTGATTCAGAAGGGCATTTCCTACACTCTAATCTTCTTTTAAAGCCTATGCAGCACAGCGTTACATATCAAATATAGCAAGTGATTTTTCATCAGACTTTCACACACCTGCTTAGCAATATAGCACCGGCAGATTTGCGCACTTGAAATGTCTTCTCCAAATAAGATATTGCTTGTGGGAAGAGTTTGTTCTGAAAAGAGCAAAAATCAGAGTCACCCAGGGGCAGTGCAGACACAGCTCACCCCAAAGGCATTAACTGTCAAGTTACACAAAATTTGCTAGATACTGTGGTATATCGCAATAGGGGAAAGTCTGACTCCTGAGAAGTTTCAATTATTATGAACATATTCAGGAAATACTTTGTTTCAGTATTCCCATATGCTGTTATTGGAATGAGAAAATGGGAAGGAAAACAGTATTAATTAGAATATTCAGTTTCAAAGAGGCTTTTAAAAACTATATACACATTTGTCACTGATACTTTTGCACCTTGGGATATAGCAAACACCATGCAGGAGAAGTTTGGAATTATTTGTTATGGAGGCGTAATCTATACACAAAGCTTTGGTTTCCTGAACTAGAGGAATACTAAATTGCTGGCATTCAAGGTTTTAGTTGAACTGGTCTCAATTTCGTCTATATTACATACAAACAAAAGGGGGAAGCAAATATAACATACCTTTATAAGGCGTCTTTTCTCAGGCAGCAAACTACATTTAAAAAACAAAACAAACAAGCTTTAGTTCACGTTTCCATCTCAGCCATAAGAAAAAAAAAATCTGCCACACCATTATACTCACTCCTCAACACTTCTGTCATATACAATCTTTATTCTCAGCTGTTGATCCACGTTTCTCTTCGAGACGTGATTTTCCTTTAGAGGAACTTGATAGACGACCTGGCAGGGAGAGGCACGATGCTGGATGAGGCAGCGCACCCCGCGGCCCCGGGCCTCGGCCCCTGCCCGCCCGGCAGCTCCGCTCCGTGCCGGCCCTTCCCGCCCTTCCCGACCCTTCCCTCGCCTCACTGGGACGCTCCGCGCCCGCCCGCCGCCGTCAGCGCCCACAGCCGGGGCTGCGGGGCCACACCGGCACAGCCCGGCCCGGAAAAGCCGAGCAGGAACCGATCCAACAGCGGCAACAAGGGAGCCTCTGCCCCCAGCACCCCTCGCGGCCGCCTGAAGACCCCCGGCCACCGCACCTGGTCGCGGCTGGGTACGCGGTGGTGGCAGGAGGAGGAGGCGGAGGTGCGGGGGGGCAGCGGCAGGAGCAGCAGCAGCAGCCCGGCGATGAGGGCGGCGAGCGGCGGGCGGCAGCAGCGGCTGGGCCGGGCGCGCCCGCCGCCCGGCTCGGCGGCCATCTTGGAGTGCCCGTCCGCCGCGTCGCCATGGAGGCAGCGCCGGGGGAGCGGCCTCCGCCAATGGGCGGGCGGAGCGGGCGGGCGGAGTGGGCGGGGCGGGAGCGGCAGGCGCTTTTGATTGGACACGGCGCCGCGAGGGGCGGGGTCAGCGCTGAGGGGAGGTGGCGGGGGCGCGGCCGGAGCCACAGGAGCGGGACCCGTGAGGCCCAGCGCTGCCCGGGGCCGCCAGGCCGCCGCCAAACCATGCCCCCAGCGCCACTTCCACACGGATGTTGAACGCTTCCACCGCCTCCCCGGGCAGCCCATTCCAGTGCTCGACCACCCTTTCTGGGAAGGAATGTTTCCCAATGTTCTACTTAAACCCTTGAGGCCGTTTCTTACCCTGTCGCTCGTAACCTGGGAGGGGAACCCGACCCTCACCTGGCCACAACATCCTGTAGACAGCAACAAGGTCCACCCGAGCCTCCTTTGCTCCAGACTGAGTTTCCCCAGCTTTGTTCCCTCCTCTGGACACACGCCAGCACCTAAATGCCTTTATTGTTATGATGGGCCCAAAAATAAGCAGAGCGCTTGAGATGCTTCATCAGCGCCCAGCACAGGGACAGTCACTGCCCTGGTGCTGTGGCCACACCATTGCTGCTACAAGCCAGGATGGCACTGGCCCTCTTGGCCATCTGGTTCATAGCCAGCCATCTGTCAAACAGCACACCCAGTTCCTTTTGTGACGAGGATTTTATTTCTCATACACAACACAGGCTTTCCCCAGCTTCTCAGTCCACAAACACTGCACAGAGTATCCCCAGTTTGTAGTATGGAAATGACTGAAGAAACTTCGACCACCAGTGATGAAAGTTATCTGGGTTTTTAAGGCGCTTTATCTTGCAGCTCCTGCTGCTTTTTTTTCAGGTATAAAGAGGGCCACACAAATAGAAGTGGTGTGTCCTGGCTCTCCAAGCTGCTTGGTGACAACAGTGGGAGAAGCCAGTGGATGCCAGGTGCTTGCAGCTAAACCAAGTTGCTCTGGCTGCTGCAGTGTTCCCATGACACAGAAAAATACCCAAAAAGCAGAGAAAGATTAAAAGCATCCTCACCTTTTCACAGGGAACAAAATCTATTAAAGTGTGAGTGGGTAACATTCCACTTTGCTTTAAATGGGAATTTATGCAGGACATTTATTCATCTGAAGTGCTGCATGGGCAACATGCAGTGAAAAGCAGAGAAAGATTAAAAGAGTCCTCACCTTTTCACAGGGAACAAAAAAAGTGTGAGTGGGTAACACTCTGCTTTGCTTTAAATGGAAATTTATGCAGGACATTTATCTATCTGAAGTGCTGCATGGGCAACATGCAGTGAAAAGCAGAAATTTTTTATATTGCAAACTTCAAATACTGTAAACCCTTCTCCTCTTTGCAGGCAATGAGAACATCATGACAAAGTTTTAAGACATTGTGGCAGCTATTTGCAGCACAGGTTGGTTTTTTTTTTTGACTGAGGCAGAATAATTTCACCTGAAATTTGCATGCACAAGTCATGTTACTCAGAAAATACAAGAAAACCATTTTGTCTTTGAAGTCTTTATTGCATCACTGTAACAAATTCAAATATAAAGCAACACTTTTAAGTGAAGTGTCTTCCTCTTGCAGCTCAGCAATACAATGTAGCTGTTTGACACTACTTTTATTAAACTTGTGTATATGGCTCTTGATTGGCAGTTTAAAGTGATTAAAAGTACTACTTGCAAACATGCTATTATTTACAGTTTTTAGAGAATTTTAAAAATTTTCAAGTTGTTTAAGCATGTAAACTGACTTATGCCTCTGCAGTTGACTCTGCAAATTCTGATGCTACAGAAGGGTTAATGCTTCACTATTGAAAAGAAAAGAATTTAAAGTCCCTCTTTAACAATCTTGAAAGTTGCAAAAGCAATTACCCTGTGGAAGCTGGAAGTAACAGGAGGGGACTACAGAAAATTCCTCTAAGAAATGGGTAGGAATACAGTAATTTATATCCAAGTAATAACTAAAGTATGCCAGGGTAACAGACAGGTAGATAAGGGAGCTGAAACAATAAATGCAAAGTGCATGTTCATATTGGCATTCTTTTTCTTCCAGATTTTTAGCACCAACAAGGCTGAGTGGATACGTAAGGATGACTCTGCTGATGGATGAGGTAATTAGAATCACAGCACTGCTTTGATTGCAAAAGACCTTTCAGATGCCCTCAGCACAGAACATTTTAAATAAATCCTCACAAGAAGGTGCTTTATGGTGACTACTGGATGGAGGAATGCAGAGGTGCTCTGACCTACCCCACACCTCTTACTGCTGGCCACAGGCAAGGCAGAGCAGCTTCCTCTCCTACCACTCCCCTCTGCTTTGTGAAGGAAGAAGTTAAATTTGTTCTCACAGCTCTTGCCTACATCTCTGCATAAGTGAACTTGAGATGCGAGTACTGAAATAGCATGCTCTAAAATATTTGCTTATGTTAGTCCTTCTGTTGATAATTTCAAGACATATTTCAACACATGGATGGATCAATAAAGAAGAAACCCAGATGTAAAAAGAATTTTAAAAATTGCTCTGTAAATTCTTAAAATATAAAAGGCACTAAAATTTTGCAGACTATTAAGATCATTCTACTTCTTGAAAGTAATAAGGTATTGTGGATATGCCTGAATGTCACTAAATATGACAAACATATTTGGATTAAGCTCATTATCAACCACACTGTCAAACAGGTCAGTAGTGTCTGCTTGGCTCCTTGGTGGTGGATCCTTTAGTCCTGCTCTCCCAGCACAGTACTGCCCAGTTAGGACCCGAGCCAAGTACATGTGTTTTTTGCCATTCACATCTGGAATGGAATAAGTATCCTGAGCAGAGTAACTTGCACTGACAGCAAAGTAGGTTCCATCTCCAATGGCTGCAGCTGTTAGGAAAAACAACATTTTCAAATACAATTAGTATTCTTGTTCTCCTCATAATCTCTAAAATTCCCTTTTTAACACTGCAGAATCTATAAATGTGATTAGACTTCAAACACAAAATTCTAGTACTAATCCTTTGTATCAGAATCAAATATGAACCCACACAGATAGCAGGTAAGTATCAACACCCAGGTTTTGACTTCCCTTTCCTATGGAAAAAAGGGCTCTTCAGTTTAGCCTGAAATCCATCAAATTGCAATTCTTCAGAGACTTTTGCACTTATGACTATATAATTGTAATTATAGTTTTCTAGTCACACTTCTCAGCAAGTTAGGAGAATCATGTCGTTGTTCAAGGCAGATTTCTTTTTTCTGACATTGGTAAAAAGCTGTTTCAGCCAGACAGGTCCTTCCTATCTGGCTGCCCTGATCTTTGGATACTTTTGCTTGGCTATGCAGCCTGACAGAAGGCAAGTGTCAGGCTATGCAGCCTGACAGAAGCCCTCCCAATCATTAACCACAGCTGAGATGAAAAGGTGCATGTCAATACCCACAAGCAGAGAGAGAACATAGAGATCTAGGGCTCTTGCTTCCTGAGTAAATCCAACCTCCTGACACTACCAAAGAGCAGAAAAGCAAAACTACATCTCCTCTGGCCATGTTTTAAACAGAAGTGGTGGCTGCCATTCCTACCTGTGCACAACCAGCATATATTTTGTGTATGCTGGGCCTCATTTATTCAAGAAAATCTCAGACTTAGTACCTCCAGAGGATCCAGAGAAATGTCTTTTGGATCCAGACCACACTGAAGTATCAACTAGATGTGAGCTAAGCTGCCCAGCTCTTTCAATATCAAATCAGCCCTAGGTATGCACAACTCTGTCTTAAGGAAGAAAACATTAAGAACAAAAATTAAGGATTTTTAAAGTGAGGTTACATGGCCACTAAAATCAACTAACACCTCAATTCAGTCCACGTTCCACTTCTTTGGATCCTGTTCTTCATCTCCGAGTGCTGCCAAATAATACACATAACATGACTGTACTAGAAGAAGTGGACAGAACAAGCTTTGAACTACTGCAGAATATCTTTATGCTAAATATTTAAGTTGTCTCTTACAACTACTAAAGGCTAAGAATTAACTAATGGATCTCACAGATTTTGTAAGCATAAAGTTGGTACAGATGTGGGATCTTACATTGTCCTAATCTTTGGAGGCAAGAGGAGAAGTATTTGCATTTCTACTTTGCTACCTGTCTTTTTCTAAGAGGAGAGGAGATACCATCAGCTAGTAGCTGTTACCTCAGCTGAGAATGTTGAACAGTGTTCTTTATTCTTTTCTCTAGGTAAATGATACAAAACAATTCCCAGAAGGTGCCCAGGCATCATTTCAGAGTAGGAGAACTCTTTTTGATATCCTTTACATGGTGGCATCCAGCGACAAGTGATTAAGTGAACAGAATAATTCTTCTGTCCATACAGATTAATCTCAGGAGTTGTTTATTATTGTGTTCTCTAATTTCATTCAGCTTTCATGTTGTGCTGACAGCACTATAATGCAGACACCCCGTAGCACTCATACACGTCTAGGAAATTATCTTATTTGGATAATGACTCACCATTCTTTCCAGCATATCCACGATTAAATCCATAGGAGTTAATCAACCTCACTGAGGATGCAGCTGTCCCATGAAATAGCAGCTTCTCATTATTTTGATTTTTGTTCTTATTACAGATAGCTTTTTTTTTTAATTGGTACGTCTGCCAGAGGATGCGATTTTGTATTCTTTCAATCTGCAAAATTACAAAATTAACTATATTTATACTAGGGATAAATAGGGTAGGGATGAATATTTATCATGGCAGGAAATCATTAAAATGAAATCAAACGGGAAGAATTACAGCAATTTTCACTATGTCCTGTCAGCATGAGGTTTGGGTAGAGGAACTGAATATGTAGGCGTCCTGAAAAATCACAAACCAAAGCAGCTCATAAGAGTTTCAAGCTCAGTAATTTTGGGTACACATTTGTCTTGTGTCTAGTGTACCAGGTACCCAGCAGTCATGGTAGCTGTGCACTGTCATTTCTAGAAACAGGCTGCTGTACCACTGCTAGAGGCAATGATGTAAGATGCCTTCTATACATCCTAATCATCTTTACTGATGATTTTCTCACCAAAGCAAAGAGTGTAGCAAAAGTATCAGGTTGAGTTTAAGTTTCTCTTCTAGATCTAAGCTTGCAAGTCAAAATTGCTTCTAATGTGTAGCTTAGCAACCCATAAGAAACAACTATATAAAAATCACTTGGTGGGAGGATGGATGTTGCTGGCTCCCTATGCCAAAAATATGAATATAGCTTAAGGGGAAGCAGTGTCTCTGCATCAAAGTATAATTTTAAAGGCATTTCTGTAACAGCCTTCCATTTTTAACAGAAAAAGACATGTCTTTGCTTGATTTTATTCTGCAATACATGAATATTTTGTTCTCTTTGTGTGTTTTCGTGACCATGCTTATTGAAGCTCATGATGGAAGAAAAAATTTTTAAACACATTCTCACTCCTAATTTGATTGTATTTTCTACTATTTATCTCTTCTCTTGATTCAGAACAACTCCATCTTCTCCCTGGCAATTAAATCTCTGTGCATTGTGTTGCAGATTTCCAAATAAGCAGGATCAAATACTGACACTGGTTAAAACTGACAGCCAAGCCTGAAAGGCTCTGGGATGACAGGAGAGAAGTTGTAAATTAGTCCAAAGCTTTATGTCAGTTTGCAAGGACTTTGTATTTTTCCTCATATTCTGAATGCATTTGCTCATGTCTCCATTTCAATACAGAATTTCCTAATTGGAAACACCATATTAACTAGAGAGTACCACATTAATTGAACAGAGAGTCAGCCCGAAGACTGACGGTCACTGGTTTTGCACCATTAGATGGCAGAAATGGCAGAATAGCTCTTAGGAAACTTGCTTTGATTTATATTCACCCTGTGCAGTGCTGGGGAGACTGACATACAAAAGGTGTATTGCCTTGCAGACATCTTATAAGCAAATATTTAGGAAGTCTATTGTTTCTTGCCCAAGCATTGACATTTTCCCCCCTCCCCACCCCATATGGTATCACCTTCTCTATGTTAAAATTAGCACATGTTGCCTTAAACATCTTCTCAACTGTTATATATTCAGCATGTGATGGCTTGAGCTCCACCACTTTGACCCGTTCATTCTGCATGTCTGTCCACTCCTTAGGGAGCTCTATTGACTGCATATCTGCAAAACAGAGGTTGCATTATTATGACAGACAACTAGCTCAGCTCCACAGGCACATCTCACAAACCGTGTGCACAGAGAGGACAAAGAGGACAACACCTTCTGCAATATTTCATTCAACAAGATCTCTTGCTCTTCCAAACATCACTGGTTCTGTAATGCACTGTAAAGGCTATACATTTTGTCTAATTATCCCCATACCAATCTCTAACTAAAACAAGCTTTAAAACCCCAGAGGAATTTTATGTATTCTTCATACACCACTTCCTTTGTCAGACTTAAGCATGAAATCTATGCTCACCAGTCACATATATGCAGACAATATTTGCACTTAAAACTGATGTTCTGATTTCACTCATACTTCCCACTGATTATGAAACTCTAAACTCCTGGCTGAAGAAAAAAAAAATAAAAGGGAAAAAAAGCTAAGGAATATCTTACTTTGGGATACCTGAGCTTGCATTTATCCAAATAATCTTTCAATAATAACTATTCAAATTTTTTTTATTTAACAAAAGTGTCATTTACCTTCATCCTTTGTCACACGTTGAAGGATTTTAGTTTTTCCTTGGTCACCAGTAGCCCTTAGAGTATTCAGATCCACCTTGTAGTTCTTCTTTTTAATTCTGATATTCACATATGGCTTTTTAGCCATTTTGGCATGCTCCAGCTGCATATTTGTCACTTTATCAAAAGCAACAAAGCTATCATTCCTTCCTAGATACCTCCATTCTACCAGGTTATAAAGAAGTTCTGCCTTGAATTGCTCTTCTTCAGTAGACTTAATTTTTTGGACCATATCTTGAACTTCTAGAGAAACGGAACAGACATCCCTGCTAATACCAGAAATTTTAATTTGAGGGGGAGAAAGCTTATTTAAAATCTCAATGTTGACTTGCTTTCCTCTCTGGAGATCTTCCAAAATGGCAAATTGCGTCTCATCAAAATTTTCAATTGCCTCATCTGTAATAATGTTTTCAAACTGCTCCTTTAAAATTAAATCCTTTATCCAGGACTCAGTTGCATCCACCATTTCTTGGCTTTCTCCACAAATTTGAAATGTGACTATACTAACTTTCTTCTCCAAAATCACAGGCTTCTTCTTCTTCTCAGTAGATTGTTTTCTGCCCCAAAAAAATGCTGTGGATAAATACGTCAATTATTAGTTGTACATAAAAGAACTTCAATTTTATTTGCCCATGCACACAGAAAACAACTTACATTTAAACATGGATAACCATGATTCTGTTGTGGAGGAATCTGGTTCTTCTCTTTTCTTCATGCTTTCATAAAAGTCTGTGAGCATATGTGTCTGGAAGATCACGATCTTAATTGCCTGTAAATGCTGTACTGATTTTTGTCTTGCAAATTCCACAATAGCATCCAACATTTCATCAGCTACCTTGGCTGAGCTCAGTCCTGCTTGACCTAAACAAAAATAAAAGGCACATATCAGTGAACAATTTTTGTGCAAGCCTACTGTTACCCATATCAAGTTTGTCTGTTTGTGAACTACCCTCATCACGCATTGCTTTCCCAAGAAAACACAAACCTGTTCCAATAGCTGGGAAGGCAACAGATTTGTACATCTTTTGTTCACACTCATGAAGCACTTTGGAGACCTGGCTCTTCACCTGGTTATCAGTAATCAAATGGATGATTTTACTGCACAGCAGGTTCCCACCCTGAGTAGTAATAAAGCCATTTTGAGACTGCCCAGCTGGAAGAGAGAAGATAAAGAAAGAGACATAATATTTACAAAGTGGCAATCTCTTTTGGTAGTGTTTTCTGTTATATTGGTACTACAAGAGAAGTGGAAAAAGTGGAAAGAAATCCACTGTGAGCTATTTTATTGGGGGTTTACTTAATTCTGGCTTTCTTTTTAAATAATCTGCAGAGTTTCTTCGAGAAATTATTCAAGTAAATGTGTGTTTTCTAATTTTCTAATTTCCTCTGCTACAAAGTATCTTCCTATTAAGTACAAGATAAGAATTTATGATGACCTTGAATACATCTCACTTCTATTTAAAAGCATGCCAAATTAATTTATATGTGAAAACCTTTCTTATTCCATTTATTCCTTAAAAGCCTGAATTCTTATACTGCAGCAGAGCTGAGTGGTTAAAATAATATCATTAAATTACGACCAACTTATTTAAGAACAGTATGGAATTTTTAAAAAGATGTTTATGATTTCTCAGAGCACTCATGTTTGCTTACAAAATGGAGTCAATATTGTGAGGATGAACGGACTGATGAGCACAGAGTTCCAGTCCACCTCACAGATCACAAAAGTAATGACTGTAAGATGGTCTGTAAGCACTGAGATCAGACTGATAAATTCAGTTTGAGAAAAAACTTTATCTGCCAGGTGATTTTCTCATGACTCTCAGGATTTTCTGAAGAATATTTTGTACATTAAATTAAAAAGTAATTTGGATGATTCTAACGGGATTTTAAGTTCCTGCCAACATTACAATTTCTTTGCTTTGTCCATTCCAACAAAAGTAAAACTGCACTGGCACTAGGAGTTTTATTTTGAGAGTAAGGAGTATTTCAAAGTAGTATGTTGATAAGGCCTTGCTCTGTGGTGGAGCTTCCTTGGGAAACGAGCAGGGTGTAGCTCTGCATGGGAATGCAGGCATGAGCATATTTACCAAACAAGTTGGAGCTAAGGCTTTTATCTTGTCCCCTACAGAGTAGTTTGGAAATCTTTGAAATGAAAGAACAAGAAAATAAGAATCAGTGTAATAGTTCTAAGAAGAGACATTTGTCTGATTTGAAGTTAATGATATATGTGTGTTTGTACAAATGTTCCTACAGAGCCAAAGGCTGGGAAAAAAATCCAGGAAACTCCATCTTGAAAATCAGTTTCCAGACTCAGAGCAAGCACATTTAGGTTATGCATCTAAAATATCCCTTTCTGTGCTTGTAGAGGCCAACCACAGTGAACTCAAATTTTACTGCTCTACTGGTCTGGCAGAATGCAGACTATGGAAGAGCTTATGATCAGGGTTGTCCTGATTTCAGCTGGGATAGAGTTAGTTTTCCTCTTAGTAGCTAGTTCAGGGCTGTGTTTTGGATCCAGGATGAGAACAAAGTGTATAACACACAGATGTTTTAGTTGTTGCTAAACAACTACAAGAAGAAAAAATTCTCAATATGTCAAAACAAGAAGGGGACTTTTCAAAGTTCATAAAAGTGAAAGCTGTATTATTCAGATAAAATAATTATGTCAGAGTAGAGAATTATAAAACAACTTTAAGCTTTCAGAGAGAATGACAGCAACAAAAAAAGGAATTATCAAAAAAATAGTAGGCTTTAACATACCATATTGAGCACATTCATTTACTACCTGGGAACCAGCAGCATCCATAATTGCTTTGAAGACCCCTTAAATCACACAAGAAAAGCACACATATTCATTAAGTCTCCTCAATATCTCTACTCAAAACTCTACCCAACTTCTGTACCCTACACATACCCTAAATTGCTTTATGGCAAGATACCACGAAGTTCAAAACTGTGACAGTTTCCCTAATTACTGTCCATGACACACAGCTTTGGCTGCAGAGAGAACGTTTCCTTCACTGCTGGTTAGAAGTCATTAAAAACAACTCCTATTTCATTGTTTCACTCACCAAACCCATATGCCCCTCACCAAACTCTCCAATGGCTTTGAACTGGTATCGTTTGGTATCTTGCATGCTTATAATTCACTATGAGAAAACCTTCTGCTTCTGACAGGGCAATTTATTTACCCAGAGCTTTGTCTTCCAGTGAAACATTTTAGGATAAGAGCATTTTTTCAGAATTATACTAAATCTAAAAATTCCATTTAAACACTTTTGGTTTTAACCAAGAAAAATATGGTCAGATGTCTTCTGTTTGAAAATTAAATATTCAGGATGTGTAAAAAACCTGTTTAAGATCCATTTCTGGATAATCATAACTCTTTATAAAAATAACTCATCTGAAAAATGCTTTATAAAAGTTTCCCTTGTGGACAATTACTTCCTGTACCCTCTTCTAAAAACTAACCCAGATTTATTGCTAAGGAACTACATATTCAATATAATACCTGTTTTGGCATCAAATGATTGATTTGCTATGTTGACAATAACCTCTGTATCTTCCTTGGTAATATCTCCACTAATTACTTGCAGTGTGATGGAACCAATCTTCATTTCATGAACTCCCAATAGCTCAGCAGAAACAGGCCTAACGAAACCTGCAAGGCAAAGAAAAATACATTACATCACTTCTCCTTCAGTTTGGAGTATTATTCTCCTCCACTGATTGAAACTCCTTATCCTTTTAAGGAATATACTCTAGATCAGTTTGATGAATGTAGAGTGTCTCTGTTTTTCCCTTTATTCCATTTCTGAAAGCTGAGAGGCACAGTATTCTTCCTGTTTGTGCTCTGAAAGTGAAACCATTTCTATTCCTGTAAATTTATTCGATATTAATTCAGAAAATGGCTTCAGGGTTTATCTGATCTGACCAGCTCTGTAACAGTTTCCTGAATTAATTCTTAAAAGAAATGGAGCATCCAGCTTAAGTGTTGCCAGTGATGGAGATCAGATCATATCCCTTTTGTAAGTTATTTCATATTTACCTTCATGGATACAAAACTATTCCTTTCTTCTAGTCTAAACTTATCTAGCCTAACTCATATTTTATCTGCCCACTCTTAACTTCATCTCTCTGATACTCAGCAAGTATCAGAGAGAAGGAAGAGCTTTATATCCTTACAAATAAGCCTCTGCCCTTGATGAAGTAAACTCATGTTTTGGCTATTGTGTCCCACTATTGTCTAATAAATGGAAAGGAAATTATCCACTCTGTATATATAAATGCATTTATGTAGGAGATTAAAGCTACAGAAATACATGTTATTTATGGCTTGTTTGGCCAAATGATTGCAAGTTCTTATATCCTTTAAGCAGGACAAAGGGTGTCTCCTATCAGAACACCCTTTTTGCTTTGGTAAGACTAGCCTCACTAAGAGTTCAGCATGCCCTCAACAAAAGAAATTCCTCCCTAAGAATTTTACAAATGACATTTAAGAAAGCAACTCCATTAGGAGGAAAAAAATGCCCTGTGCCCTGATGATATTTATTTTGTTTCCTGATACACATAAAACCACTTAACAACATTTACATTCTGTCCCACCCCTACACAACTTACTTGGCTCTGCTGCTGCAGCATTGCAACTTTCACCTGCCCTAAGTTGTAGTTCAGTGGTAAAAGCCTAAGAAAAGAAAAAAGGGATCCAAGATAGTATTTCACAGTATGTACACTGAATGTTTCTGTAGTTAACATTAACAGTCTTGTAGCTCTTGCTGAGACACCTCACACACTTTATAGTCATATTTAAGTGTTAATAACAGCAGAAGACCCAGTGTGAGCAGTGTGATAGGAGATAGCTCTGCATTCCCAGAACAACTCTGGCAAAAGATGAGGAAGCATCTACAGGCTTTTACAGTGCCAACAGCAAGGCAGATTTTGTCCACAGCTTCTGCTTGCTGAGAGTTTGTATTTCAGAGACAGTGGAAAGACATCCCATTGTCACTGGCCCACGGCAGCAAGAAAGTGCCAAATCATTCCCTTAGAGAGCAGTATAAGTAAAACAGATTATTAAAGTGTAACTAGAGCAGTATGTTACAAAGACACATTTGTCCTGAGAAGAACTACCTGAATGTTATCAATATCTTGTGGATTCAAGAGAAAATGAACTTCCTGGAGATTCTTCAGAGTGTGACTACTACTGAACTTGAATACCACATCAAACATTAACTTAGCAACAACGATTTTAGGAAATCCAAATCCTCCAGTCCCAATAGCTGGGAAAGTGATTGATTTCAGTCCCAGTTCTTCAGTTTTCTTCAAGCAGAATTTGATTGCATCTTCTAGGTCCTGTAAAACACAGCAAAGGTACTTTTTTTCCTAAAGGCATAATTTATTATTAGTTCCAAAGAAACTGGTATGATAAGCAGCTCTGAGTGCATCAAGGCATCTTTAAGGTCACTCCAATGGAAGAAAAAGGAGTCAAGTCATCTAAATTAACTATATTTAAACCTGAAATTTTAGGACAGGTACCAAACAAATATGTAGCTGGGGTGGATGGGGGGGTTTAATAATTAAAATATACCTTATCTGTCTGTCGTCCATCCCACTTGGGTACTATGGCATGAAAGATGGACTTGCAGGCCATAGCACATCCACTGGTGCAGACCACACTCCCAGGACCAGCAACCTGACTTTGTTTCTTGGTGTCAAACTCATCTTTGAGAGCTGGCCCAGCTCTTTCCAGCACAGCTTTGCAAAGAGGCCCCTCGCCAAAGAGCAGATCTGTGCCAACGCTGTTGACAACAACATCTGTCTGCAACAAGATTACAATGAAAACAGCTACAGCTAGAATTCAAGCAAAAATATGCACCAAGCTTAAGAGCCCTACCAATGTGACACACAGCAAAAGAAACAAGATGTCAGTGGATACCCAAAACAGCAGTCCAGACAGGTACCCATTTCCCCTAATATCCAACCAAGATAGTTATTTTACAAAGTACTTCAGTATTTCCCCTTTAGGAAAGAAAAAGCCTACTCTTTTACATGTTGGTCTTGGATCTAGAAAACAAACAAGATGTAGCTGGGAATTGAAACATCCTGAAAATCACAGCTGCCCTCTATAAGTGGCTGCAGTGACAGATCTCAACCTACATTCAAGTTTTGCAAGCTTGCATCCTTGTTTAGCTAGCACACAGCTGTTCTCTCCTTATGTAGCAAGTACTTGTAAAACCTACTGTCTCTCCTTTTTCATTTAAAGACCTTACCATCAAGTTAGAAAGGAGTCAGAAAAGTAAAGACTTACCACAGCTTCCTGAATGTTCTTCTTCTCCACTCGGATGCAAAGTCCTTCATTTGTTGTAACCATATTCAAATCCCCTTTTCTACTCTCCGTATGGCTTTTTTTCTGCACCAGCCGTTTGGGGGGAAATGATTTAGCTGAAAATACTTTTTTTACTGTCTCACTCAGAACCTGAACGATTTCTTCTAAATTACTCACAAGATGGATCTCCTTCAAGTTTCTGTCCTCCCTGAGTTCTTCCAAGGTCTCGCTGATGGAGGACACAATTGAATCTGCACAAATCTGTGGTGGAAAGCCATAAATCCCTGCACTTATAGCAGGCAGAGCTATGGAACAATGATTGTATATATCAGCTAGTTGTAGACATTTTTTCACTGTCTTTCTCAACAACCACACGCACTTTTGTGATTCCCTCTCGTTCCACCTGGGCCCGACAGCGTGAATGACGTTCTTGCAGGGCAGTTTCCCGGCGCGTGTGATCACTGCACAGCCAGGCTGCAAATTCCCCAGCTTCTTCACCAGCTCATCACACTCCTCCTGCAGCGCTGGCCCAGCTGCTCTTGACAGTGCCTCTGCCAGGCCACCAGAGTGTTTTAGTTTTTCATTAGATGCATTCACCACAACATCAACAGGGTAGTCAGACAAGTCACCTCTATACACTCCTACCACAATTCCACCTGGCAGGCTTTTTTCATAGTAGACTTTTCTTTTCACTTTATCACCAGCTTTTCCACCCTTCTGTTGTTCTTCTTCTTCCTTAATCCTAATGAAACACCTAAATTTCTGTTTTGCTTCTAAAATACATAAATCTTTCCTCTCAGTGAAGAACTCCTTTGCCCCTGGTTTATCAATTGGCACATTTTTTGAGTAAAGGGATAAGACAGCTTTTTCAAAGTTGATGAATGCTTCTGGCACTTCTGCTCTTGGTCCCCTCAGAGAAATACATGGTGTCTTGGTGTCAAAACGTACTGTCACACCTTTCCTCTTCAATTCTTCACAAACACCAGACTTCTCATTCTCTACAAACTGCACTATTACCTCTGATTTAGCTGGGATTACTTTTTCAATGATTGTGTTTCTATCTACGAAAGCATTAAGTCTCCGATAAACCTCTGTTACAGCCTTAGAAAAGCCAGCAATAATCATTTTATTTTCTTTTCCAACAGACTGCCAAGTGATGACAATTTCCTGGGAAGAATTATGGGTCTTGAGCAAGTTGAGAAGAAGAAGATTCCACTGATCATTTTTAATGACTTCACCATCCTCCACATTGATGCACTTGTATTCTAAACCTGTTTTTATTTGCTTTTCTGCTTCTAGAAGATCTTTGTGAGCATCTCCATAGAGCAACACAGTATCATCCTGAAGTTCATAAAAAGCATTAATTTTTTCCCTAATGAATAACATATCTGATGTTTTTTTATTATCTACACTCTGTAGATAGTGGAAAACATGGGGGTCAATAGTAACTGATGTACGTGGCATACTCAATACCTTTTCCAGTAACTCAGCTTTGATTTTATATACTTCTGCCGGTAACCCACACAACTGAACAGTCTTTTTTTTGTCATCATAAAAGAGCTTTAGGCATGGATATTCCTTCTGAATATTCTCTTCTAACCCAGCATTGTGCAGCACAGCATACTTCCCTGGGATCACCGACACAGAAATTTCTATGTTCTGTTTTTCCCTTTCACTTTGCTTCATGCATTCCCTCACTTCTTTCTCTGCACTGTCCACTGCTGCTCTGCTGCCTGCAAGCACCACCATCTCCTCAGAAATATCGGTTATGATCAGAGCAACATCTTTCGACAACCTTTTTTTCACATCTTCCCAACCTGATGAATTGACTTTACATTTTATAGCTATGTAACGTGCCATGATACGTGAGAACTCAGTGGAAGCATCTTGATGCCATGTCTTGAGCAACTTAGTCATTGCCTTTTTCTGCTTGCAGAGAGATGATGATGGGCACAACGTAACTTCGGGGTTTGCACAGTCTTCTTGGGGCCATTTGAGCTCAGAATGGCAAACTGCCATTTCCTGGTTTATGTCCTGGATCAGATTGGCATGCCTTTGTAAAAACTGCCATACATACGGGTCTAGTGGCACCCCAACAGGGTCTGGCATCTTGAAAGCTGGTCGTTCTTTTCCATAGAGAGCTGTTCCCAGGGAGTGGTAATATGGATGCACAGAAATCACTGTCTGTTCCAGTAAATGTTTCTTTTCCAAGACCATGGTTAGATCTGAAAGTCAGTGCACATATGTACAAACACACATATATCATTAACTTCAAATCAGGCAAATGTCTCTGTTCTTAGAACTACTACATTGATTTTTCCTTTTCTTTCATTTCAAAGAGCTGCTTTTATGTCTTTCTGATTTTCAAACTACTCTGTAGGGGACAAGGTAAAAGCCTTGGCTCCAACTTGTTTGGTAAATATGCTTGTGCCTGCATTCTCATGCAGAGCTACACCCTGCTCGTTTCCTAAGGAAACTCTACCACAGAGCAAGGCCTTATCAACATACTACTTTGAAATCCTCCTTACTCTCAACTTAAAATAAAACTCCTAGTGCCAGTGCAGTTTTACTTTTTTTTTTTTTTCATTTTTGTTGGAATGGAGAAAGCAAAGAAATGATAATATATATAACTTAAAATCCTATTAGAATCATCCAAATTACTTTTTAATTTAATGTACAAAATATTCTTCAGAAAATCCTGAGAGTCATGAGAAAATCACCTGGCAGATAAAGTTTTTTCTCAAAGTAAATTTATTAAGCCAGGAATCTCCTAACAGATATTTACCAGAAGTTGCACTGGCACAAAAAGCTGACATTGATTCGAGGAATGCAAGAAATAGTAAGAAGATTGTTCTTCAGCTCTGTTCTTCCCTGATAATGAAGATATTTGACTTAATTAGCTTGAAATGAGGATATTTGACCTTATTTAGTGTCAAAGTTAACTGTGTCACTGACACTAAGTCATTGCCAGATTCTGCTCTGTCCCTCTGCCTGTAAGTATCATTAATTTTATATTGCATATAAAAACCTCTGCTAACGTAGAAAGAAGACCAGTGAGAAAAACCCATGGACAATGCAGATATTAAAATAAATCTCTGGTAACAAAAACCAAACCAAACAAACAAACCACCCCCCCCAACAGATACTGAAGCCCTAGACATGCAGCAGTATTTCTACACCCAGAGCACTTCCTAGGAACAGAACAGTGCACACTGACTTCAGCAACAGAAAGCCAGGCTTCTCCTAATCCCCATATTTTCATTCACTTTCTTGCAGGCTATCTGCCTGTGAGTACCTTGGTCAGGCAAAGGACAGAGTTACCTTTGTGGTCACAGAATGTAATGAGGGCTGAGTTCTCCTCGGAGGAGAGCTGGACATCTGACACGGGCCCCCCTCCGTTCCGCGCGCTCTCAAAGTACACGGTGAGGTAGTCTGTGGAAATGCTCTCTGGTAGGTTTTCAGCCTTGATGCTCTGTGTTGATTCAAGAAGCCGGGCAGTCATTTTGAATTCTCTGACTCTCTTGTGCTGTGAACATTTTTCAACAAATTCCTTAGTATCTGTAAACAGAAGAGCAGCATGAACTGACCGTGTTTTCCTGTGTCATTATCAGCCCTGGCTATCACTTCAGGCAGAGAAATGAGCACAGTCTACTCCCTGTATTTGGAACAAAACTGTCTCTGGTGCCAAATAACTCTGTGCTGTAAAAAAAAGGGGAAAAGCACACAACCATGTTACTATCTGCTATTCACTACCATTATGTCTCTTTTCCCATCTCATAAGGATTCTGTCTTCTCTAAGAAGTATCCAGTATCCTATCAAGGAGACTTTATATAATCCCCACACTCAGTGCACTTTAAATGCTTCTTCATCAAATCCAAAATAAGATAGAAACAAAAAAACATTCTAATACAATTTCAATTAATAAAGATGCCACTATTTTGTTTTTTCAGTGTAACATTTGGATCACAGGTACGTTTTTGGGGCTGCATATAAGATATTTTTCTTGAGACTGCAATACAGGTGCTTTTTTTAACCGTCTGGATCTCTAATGGGAGAGGAATCACGCTCTGAAAGCTATTACTCATACTTATACATGGAAATTAATAATGGTGTCATCCTATCTTACCAATATTTTTTATGAAGGTTACTACAGCAACATTTATTTCAGGTATCAGTTCAACAGTAAAGTCAGCATCTGCAGACAGGCCACTGATGTTCTCCAACAGCAGCTGTAAGCACTTTGGATTGCATCTCTCTATGTTCTCAAGTACCACCGAAGGTGAGGCCTCCGCAGAGTCAACCTCCTCCTGGAGTTCACTGTTTGGAGCAAAACTTTCAGCTTTCTTCAAGGCTTTTGTATCATCTGCAGCAGAAAGATAAGCCACATAAAATGTTGGTACACATTTCCTGGAATAAACAGATTCCTCTTACCCTTTCTCTCCTTTCCTTTCCCTCCTTTCCTTTCCCAAGAAAGGAGATTGCTAACCAAATAAATACTGCAGGGTACCACTGAACATTTTGAGATCCAAAACAGCCCAGATCCAATATTCTGCAGGGCTGCAAGCAGCTTCTTTGGTGGCACAAAACCAGACCTGAATAAACAAGTCCAATGTCACTGGTATAACTTTGACCTGGTCAGAGACTAAACAAAACTAAAGTCCATTGAGATAATAGACCACAGCTGCTCAGATGTCAGTAAGGGCTGGGAGAGACCTTGCAGCCTCTGCATCTGTTTCTTAGCCCTATGCAGGCAAAACAAGCCCAAACATAGCTCAGGACATCCACAGGCAGCAGAGGCCACAAGCAGCTTTGTGTGACTTGATGTAAAGCCTCCTGAAGGCCACTGTGCCCTGCCATCAGTGCAGCATGACAGTGCTGGGGGGGCCCGTGTGCACAAAGGGCTGACAGGGATCCAACAGCATTTTGCAAATAGAAAATATATCAGAGGTGCCCACTGAGTATCCCAGAAGTCCAGTGTCTGCCAGAGGCAAGCACATCACCAGCTTTGCAGACAGAGGAGGGCAGAGGTGTGAGAGAACCTCCAAACTGGAATGACCAACAGGCTGGCTCTGCCTGCCCACTGAGGTACAAAAACTACTGCTACCACACCCATACCATCTCCAGAAGACAACTGCCTTTGAAGGCCTAGCACCACCAACAAGAAGAAAACTAAAGAAATAAGAAGCAACAGTTCTTCTGATACTAGTTACTAATTTCTACACTGCTGAAGGAGTCAGCTCCTCCACTCTGACCAATGAAGAAAATACCACAAAGCCAAAACTGAAAGCCAGGCTGACCCAATGAAGCAATTGAGAGCAGGATCTGAAGATTTCCAGGTTCCTCTCTAGTAAAACTACAAAATAGATGATAAGTTGGAGAACTGGAAGCCATCTGTGGAGAAAAGCACCAACATTTTTGTTTTATGAAGAATCAGCACATAGAGTGATGGATAACATTTTACCTTTTGTTTGAAGGCTGCTCATGTCATCCAAAGCCTAAAATAAAATGAAAGCCAAATATCAGTGACAGATTGGACACTCTCACCACTATTTCAAAGCTCTGGTTAATTTTTATTCACCTTTGTGGGAACTGATTTTTCTTCAAATGTTTCCTCTTTAGTAGCTTGCGCTGTTTCAGGCTCTGTGACAATCAACCTCAATTTTCCTCCTCCCTCCAAATGCAATTGATGAGACTCTCTCTCAAGAACTCGTTGCTTGACTAAATAAAACCAAAAAAGCTCTGTGAAAATCTGAATGGAAACACAGCTTTACATTGCATGGCACTTTCCCACCATTATGGCACTGTCGTAATGCTTAGGAACGATTTAAGAACGGTATTCTGCAATTTATTGTTTCCACTGAAAGGAGCCAGACCTCTCCACTAGCTCACTACCCTTCTCCCTCCCCCCGCCGTGGCAGGATGGAAAGGAGAACTGAAGGCACAAAAACGTTAAGCATTACAGGAAGAGATGAGAACAATAAACTACAAAGAGCAACGAAGTAAGAAAAAAGAGCAGGAACGACACCAGTGCTGATAACAGCGCACAAGACAGGTGAACGATTCAGGGCCCGCTGCTCACCCCACCCCGAACTCGACAAAACCCGCAGAAACTCCCTCCCTTTCCGAGCCCCACCGCACGGCTCAGGGGGGATGGAATTTCCCTGGGAGCTGGCTGTGCCACTCCCGGCTCCTGGAAAAGTTCCTCGCCTTGGCCGGAACAAGGATATACAGATATACAGTCCTGCGAAATGAAAGAGCTTTAAACTCATGACGCTGACGCAGGATGCACAAGGCTTTCTTCCTTAAAAAAGAAGAACAGCAGAGAGCATTACTCCCGCGAAAAACTGTCAGAGATGCAAAACTCGGCCGTGTCACGGGTTTCGTGGTGGTACCCGCAGAGTCCCGGTAGCGGCCCCCCAGGCCCTGAACATCCTCTTCCAGACACTGCCGAAATGGCTTGGGGCTGTATGTCCTGAACTCACCAGCAGGGCGAGCCAGCAACTGGGAAGCGTGTTAAGGCAAGAAAAGGAAAAACTGTGTATAGGTATCTGTGAGTTTCTGCACATACGTGCATGTCTATGTATACATTTAACGCAACTGCAGCTAAATCCTTTCCAGCTTGCTGCAAGTCTATAAAAATATGTACATGTTACAGATGTCTTATTTTTAATATATAACTGTAACTAATCTAATTGTTAGGTTAATATAAGATTTATTATTCCGAGTGCAGTTTAGAGAATACTACAGCGCATCAAGATGAGTATGCATGTATATACTCCTCCTAAGATATATTTATTTGCTTACAGCCTTTATGCCGAACACAATCCAGAGGCTAGTACTAAGCAGCAAATCTAAACGTATATATAAGTAAATATCACATTCTGAGTTAGAAGGGACCCACAAAAATCGAGTCCAGCTTTTGGACCTGCACAGGACATCCGTAACAATCACACCAAGTTTACATATTGTCTATTCTACACTGCACAGGAGAGGGTGTACACGACATATTATATACCACAGATATTGCACATCAGCGCCGGACGGGATATATTATTACACCGTATGCAACAACTAAGCAGTATCTTTTAACTTGCAGAAAGTTTAGACTTGTGATTTACGGCCCCAACACCCCCGCAGGGAGCCCACACGCTAACCCCGGCCCCTGCCCCGGCCGGGTCCCCTCTCCCGATCCGCCCGGCCCGGCCGCTCACCCTCGGGGCGGGCGAAGCAGACGAGGATGTGCCCGGCCCCGCTCCCGGTCCCGCTCCGCAGCTCGCACTCGCCGCCGCCCGAGCGCTTCTGGCTCTGGAAGTAGCAGAGCAGCTTCTTCCTGAGCGCGGCCGGCGGCTCGGCGGGGCCCCAGTCCCCTCGCACCAGCAGCGCGAAGGAGCACGGCCGCTGCCCCTCCATGGCCGCCCGAGCGCTCCGCTCCCGCCGCTTTCGCTTTCGATTCCCCGCGCACCAGGGCGCGGCTTTTCCCGGCAAACGCGAGCCTTTCGTGTCTCCTCTGCCGCCTCTCGCGGTAGCCCAGCCCCGGGCCGCCTCCTCGGCACCCCCAGGCACAGCTTCACATCTGCGCCCTTAGGCTCCTCTCCCCCTGGAGCATCCAAGGCACCCCCTTGCCTTCCCAAATGCCCTGCTTGCCCCTCTGCCGGGGGATGGCAGCCGCTCTCGCTGCTGTCCCAGAAGTTCTTCCACCTGCTCTGCAAGAGGACAGTCCTCACACAGAGTCGAGGCATTTGATTCATCCACACTTCTGCACAGAGAGGGGCCTGCGTGGCAAATCCACAAAGCCAGCATGGCGACTACCAAAACTTTAAGAAAAAGTGGCATTACTGTTCATTGGCTACAGGTTACTTACTTCGCTTTTTAATTAGTATTCTATCTTCTGTCGATTACTGATTCTCTTGATGCTCATGCCAATTAGTTCACATGCTCAGTCTTTCTCTTCTTTGGGTCAGCAGGCCACGAGTCGGTGGTCACGATCTCCCCTTGCAGGAATTACCTTAGCCCAGTAAAGGCTGATTCAGCATGCTTGCTGAGTTGTCTTTATTCGTTCCTTCCTTATCTTGTAGCTTCTGCCAAATGTCCTTGTAGCCTGTAAATCCTGCATTCTTTGTGCCCACTATCAGTGGTAAATCCCTCTTCCCAAGCCTTGTTAACTTCCTCCCAAGTCTCAAATTACTGAAACATGTTGAGCCCTAAACCTTAACAAGGCAATTTACTAACAAGCAATTTGTTTTCCTCACACCTGGACATCAGTTAGAGCTTACTTGCTAGCTACCTGTTATTGGATGAAATCTTTTTGTTGATTAAACTGGAGAGTGTACAAAGATCAAATACCAAAGAACATAGTTCCTTAAGAAAGTTTTTACATGTTCCACATTTTGCATCATTGCTGCCAGAGAAACAAGATCAGGGTGGAACAAGTTGTGTCAGGAGAGATTGAGGTTGGATAGCAGGAAAAAAGTTCTTCACTCAGAGGGCGGTTGTGCACTGGAACAGGCTCTCCAGGGAAGGGGTCATAGCACTAAGTCCTTCAAAAAGGATTCAGACAATACTCTGAGGCACATGGTGTGACTCTGGGGGATGTCCTGTGCAGGGCCAGGAACTGGACTTGATGATCCTTGTGGGTCTCTTCCAATTCAGGCTATTCAATGATTCTCAGTCCCTTTGTACACTCCTGCCTCTGGCCTTTGCCTGTTAGAATAAGCCCATTTGGAAAAGCAGCATGTGTCACTCATGGCCTGCACAAAGCCCAGGGTGACAGGTTTCTGCTTCAGGCTTGATGCCCTACACACCTGTAAGGTGAAAAACACCTTGGTGTCCTCCGCAGCTTCTTGTGGCACTGGGGAAGCTGAGACCTGATGCAGTGCTGGCTCCTGGAGAGAATGGTCACACTGGCACCAGTGACCCACCAGCAGCAATGAAGCACCTGGAGCCCTCTCCTCTGATGAACCACTGGCCACAGGTATTTGTTACGGGGATTTAATAAGTTTATTCACTGTACAAACAAGACTTTTGGCCCCCATACCAATACCTTGATCTCCAGCTCTAGGTTAAATTGATTTCAACACACTTGATCTCAACAGTCAGCAATTTTCAGTGGTTAGAAAATGGAACTTTTCCACTGAAAAAGTTTTTTTACATAGTAAAAAGTAAAAAAAAAAAAAACAACAAAGGGAGCAGTTCCACTGCTGTCACAGAAGGATGGGATGTACAAATGCACAGCCTGAGTTTTACAGCTCTACTGAGATACTTGACTTGCATATTCGTGTTCACATGCCTTCCCAAGAAAAGGTGTCCCTTGGCCACAGTTACCCTACAGTACCCACAGTAAAACTGTAACAGTAACCTAACTATGTAAAGAAAGCATTGGAAGTTTTTTTTTATGAATTACAACAACCAAGTAAGTCAAACCCAGTACATTCAGAGGAGCCAAGGGCTTTTCAAAGCTGGGGGTGCTGCAAAGCAGCAGGGTATTGTATTTAAAAACAAGCCATTCCATATCTGTAATGTCAAGTTCATTGATGTTTACTGGTTAAAAACCAATGCTAAATGTTCAAAGAGGTTTAGGCAAACACAAGCCATTTAGTACAACTGGTTCATTTATTGAAAATTGCTCTAACATAACTCGTTATGAGATTGTCACAGAGAGTAAGAAGGCATCAGAAATGCAACACTGAACAGTCCAAGGCTGCATTATCCCTTCCAATTCCCCACGAGCAATTAGGAAGGCCCTAAGGCTGTGTGGCTGATACAGTACAAAAGCTCACTATGTAATCTAAAAGAGAATTGCAGTAAAATATTGTGCTCAAATCTTAATACATTCGGCTGCTCAAGTGTAAACAAGCTTCAGGGGGATCAGAAATTGCCAGATTGCTTAAATCAAGTAAGAATTTAATTTGACACAATTCTTTATTATTTTTGTTGTATGTTTTGCTACAGATGTTTCCATCCTACATAAAGGCTGAAAGACATGCAGTTGTGGCTGCAATCAAAATACTCACTTAGTGAAAGTGATAAGGTATTCTGGGTATGCTTGAATGTCATTAAAAATTATGAACATGGTTGGCTGGCTCATGTTATCAGTTGAACTATCATACAGATCTACAGAGTTGCTAGCACTTTTTTGTGCTGGAGTAATAGATCCTTTTGTCCCCAGAGAATATTCTCCAACAAGGACTCGGGCCAAGTACATGTACTTCTTCCCATTCACATCTGGTCTAGAGTACTGGTCGTTGGCAGAATAGATGGCATTAACAGCAAAGTACGTTCCGTTTCCAAAGTGTGCAGCTGTAGTCAGAAAAGCAAAGGTTTGTGAGTGTTTCAGCAGCAGCTACTCCTAATCTGCCACCTTCAGAGCCTGTGAATCTCTGGACAACTCTGCTTTTTATTTGCAATAGGGAGATAAAACAGAATAAATCATTTTGCATACAAGGTAGGACTATACATGGCATGGCAAATTAGTCCTAGCCCTACACAGGAAAACAAGAGTTGTTTTGAAAGTTACATTACCGTGCATTCCAGCATAGCTCCGGTTAAATCCATGTTTGTTAATTAAGATTAATGACTCCCGACTCGTCCCATGAAACAGAAGCCTCTCATTATTTCTGTTGACATTTTTTTTATCTATTTCACACTTTTTTATTTGGTAGTTTTTCCATAAATATTGGTTCTGTACCCTTTCAATCTGTGAAATTTGAAAGTAAGACAGAAAAAAAGAAAGAAAATGGGTAGGTTGCTGTCATGAAAAAAATCAGCCTATCAGTCATTCAATCTGCTTCCAAGATTCCCCTCCTAGCTCAAATACACATATGATTAAATAAGTTAGTCAAATCCTTCCAAACTTTGGCATGGCAGATAGCAGAACCCAGCTCAAACCATGAGACAAACACTTCCTGGGAAACAATACAGGAGCTTTTCACAGGTTTCCAGGCTGTAGATGCCTGCTGGGCCTGCACAGCACACGTGGCTTACATGGGCAAAACACATGCTCTGCTACAGCAAAAATCATTCCAAGGAAGAGCACTCTCCCCTGGAGCTGAAGAAGTGACTGCTTGAGTTGCTCCAAATACCTCAACTGCAACATTAAACTCATTAAGGCTGAATGAAGTTAATGACAGCCAGAAAGACTTGTCCCAGCTTTAGAAATCCCAGGGGAATTTCTTTTTCTATTATCAGTATCCTTCATCACTTGCCATTAAGTTATTTATGCTTAGAAATGATGACTTGCTTTTACCTTTTCAATTCTGTATAACTGACAGGTCTGCAGAAACCTTTGTTCCACATCTTTATACTCTTTTGAGTCTGGTTTTATTTCCACTATTTTCGTTTGCTCATTTTCCATAGGGTCCCACGTTGGAGGGAGCACTGTTGACTTTTGATCTGCAGAAGAAACACAATTGATCATATTCACCCAAATCCCCTGCCTAAAATTAAACATGACCTGCTACAAATCCTTCTAGAAGTCCACACATCTTGCTTATGGATGACTTGGAAAGAAGGATCTTCTTGTATTGTAAAGGACCAGCAGTAAATGGAAGAGGCAATGGCTCAAGAACAGAAGTGAGCTGAGATCCAGCACAACATTTGCTACAAGAACATTATTGCTAGTAAGCCTGCTAAGAACATCAGAACACATTACTCTTTTCTCAAAATATTTTAAATAGCTGCAAACTTCTTTTATTTCCCAATTCAGTTCCTTTCTACATTCTCCAGAAATGCACCTCCACAAAGCTCCTAACATGTATTTTAAATATTCTCACCATTCTCTTACTGGATGCAATCAGGTTGTCTCATGGGAACATCAGACTGTCAAGATGCTTTTCCTTACCTTCAGATTTGTCAATACGTACGATGGATATCTGTCTTTCTTGGGCATCCACAGCAGTCCTACGTTCCATATCCACTGTGTATATTCGCTCATCAATGATGACTTCCAGAGTTTTCTGCTTTCTCATGTAAGCGTTTTCCAGCTCCACATTTGTGAGACTGTTGAAGGGTACATAGGAACCCTTTTCACTGTATTTCCATTCAACTGAATTTTGTAGAAGTTTTGCCTGGGTCTCTTTAGCAGCTTTTATCTTGAGGATCATTTTATGAACAGCTAAAGAAGCCAGGCAGACATCTTTTGCAATCCCTGAAATTTCAACAGAGGTACTCTTCAAATTAAGACAAATTTTTAATTTCTCTTCTAGGTCATCCAGTTCTTCATAGTCTTCTTCATCGAAATGAGAGATAGTTTCGTCTACAATTTCTGTATGAGATTGTTCTCTTGAAATTGCACTTCTCAGCCACTTTTCGGCTTCTTCCACTTCTTTTTTATTTTCACCACAAATCTGCACAACAGCCAGGTCAATTTTCTTTTCCAAAGCCACTTTGGTTTTTTCCTTTGGGGAATGTTTCTCAGAGCTCCAGAGTGCTACATTGAAATACATAAACGTTGTCATTAACATTAATATTTTTTAGCTGGTGCTAAACAGATTGATCTATAACCTGTATTTAAGTGACATCTACTTACATTTACCC